GATCCAGTGTATGTGAACAGTGAGATGTTTGGGCGCTGAAGTCGCCATAGCCAATTGAGAGTGAACTCGTATCTGAAAGCCATATATCTGATTTTTGAGTGGGCGTATGTCGCCAGTATGCTGCGTTGCTGTTTACATGCATGAAAAGTGTGTTTGAGAACGAGTCTGATTTCAAAACGATTGGTGGACTCCTTGACACCAGCCCCTGGAGAACTCTAATGATTTCGACTCGACCATAACTCAAGCTCGCTCCATCATCCAAACAAATCGGCGTGCCGCTAAGCGCAAGGCAGAACGTGATGCAACTGAGCACAAGGCAAAGGGTGTCGCAACTGAGTGCACGGCAGAATGTGTCGCAACTGAGCGCAAGGCAGAATGTGTCGAGGGCAAGGCAAAATGTGTTGCAACTGAGCGCAAGGTAGAATGTCTCGCAACAACTCGCAAGGCAGAACGTGTCAAGGCAGAGGGTGTCGCAACTGAGTGCAAGGCAAAATGTGTTGCAACTGAGCGCAAGGCAGAATGTGTTGCAGCTGAGCGCAAGGCAGAAAATGTGCTGCAACTGAGCACAAGGCAGAATGAGGCCCATGCAAAGTCTGCCTATCAGTTCTCTGTCCAGTTCAGACCTTCCCTCCCTCTAGAGACTTGGGCCAAGAATAGGACCCAGAGAGGGACTACCGTCTTCTCCGCAAACACAACGCACCCTCATTGTGAATGAATACCAGCTATAAGTCCGGCCAGATACTGTCATATTGAGGGTGCATGGTGTTTGCAGGAAGATGGTAGGGGCCTATTGAATGGAAGTTTTCTGAACCCCTGTTTTCCAGCGATATCTTGCCCGCTGAAAAAAATCGCAAATCCCTCCCAACTTGGCTGATGTTGGTTTTCCAGGATATGTCAGCTGCAGTTCTTTGACCAATTGGAGGGAGGGGTGGGGGGGGGTGGGGGGGGTTCTTGTGGGTGGAGTGGTGGTGGTGGGGAATCAATTCCAGTCAGGTGTGATTGTCTGCCCGATGTCTTTTGCATGATATGGTGCAGGGATCCTATTGCAGTCAGACCCTGCGCCTTGTCTGGGCTCTGAACCGTACTTGTGATTCTTCTTGCAAACAGGTCCGCACAATCTGCACTCTTTTCTTCTTCTGCTGCTTCCTTTTTCATTTTTTTTATTACATGGGTGGAGGTTGCCTTGCCTGCTGCCTAGTGTTGAATGAACTTGAATCACATTTGAAAAAATCAACTGTTTCGGATGATGGCTAAATTACTCATTTACTAAATTTAGTAACTACTCATTTGGTCCATTTAACTCTGTTATGGTGACTCTCTGCTTTTGACGTGTGGTTGGTTGCATGGCAGATGGGGAGCCTGTCATTCGAATTTCCTCTCCCCAGGCGGACAGATCTTGCAGGCACCTGCTTTGTTTTCCTCTCCTCAATCGACATGGACGGTTTCAGCGGACTGGTCATGGCTATTTTGTGATCAAAGAGCAGTGCATCATCGAATATGTACATCAGCGATTTCAAGAGAGGTCAGGAGGAGGCTTCCTTCATCATAAAAGACCTTTTTTTTTTTTTTTCACTATCGGCTAGTATCGGGTTCTTATTCTACATCATCATCATTGGACCTCCTCGAGATTTTTGATCATTTTTCACACAGGATAGATAATAGATGTGGAGGGATTCCCGGCCTCTTGATTTGAGTCGGGTACAAAGCAAACTTGGCCTTAAAAAAAAAAGGGTAAAAAGGTGTCCTTAACATTAGAGTTAGGGTATTGTCTGCACGAAGACGTTGGGGTTAGTCCGGTAAGCGTTGGAGCAGATCACGACTTGCGATCTGAGCATTAGCATAGGTCATGGTTCCATGGTGCCATCTTGAGGTGACTCCCTCCTGGGTCCTCGCAATCCATCTGACCTCCCAATGGATGAGTACTACGGGCACCTCCTGAGGCCTGGCCACCACCCTCTACTACACCCTGGACGTTTGAAAAAAAAAAAAAAAAAGGGAATAGCAGGAAAGGGGAAAACCCCAGTTAAGCCAAAAGACAACCAAGTGCAAGGAACATGAGCGAGAGCGATAGGCAGAAATTCAAATTGCAATATCATGCTGTAGACAGTATAGTCCTATACCAAACAGGAAGCACCATGCACCGAGATACAAGCCAAATAAGAGCAATACAATGAACTCAAATGTCAATGTTGACACTCTCTCGCCACACCAACATAGTATCCAATGTCGCTCTTCTCTATTGGCGCTCAGCGCCCAGCCTATCTGTGGCATACTGCGTAGCCACACGGGCCCTACAGGGCCCGTCCCGGACATTCAGCCTAAAAGCCTAAAACTTAGGGCTTACAGGCCCCGTTCATTTCAGCCTGGATGCGGTGTGGCATACTGCGTAGCCACACGGGCCTACAGGGCCCGTCCCGGACATTCAGCCTAAAAGCCTAAAACTTAGGGCTTACAGGCCCCGTTCATTTCAGCCTGGATGCTGAAAAACGAGGGCCTGCAGGCCCTACCTCGTTTCAGCCTATTTCTGGGTCTTTTTCAGACCCAGAGTTTTCAGCCTGAAACGGAGGGCCATTTTC